TTCTCATTATTATAGGTGATCCACAAGTACATATACTATGTAAAATAAGAAATCTAGGCTGGGCCTGCTGGCTCACGTCTGTAATCCCAGCACTTTGGGAGGCTGAGGTAGGCAGATTACGAGGTCAGGAGTTTGAGACCAGCCTGGCAAATATGGCGAAACCCCGTCTCTACTAAAAATACAAAAAATAGCCGGGCGTGGGGGTAGGTGACTGTAATCCCAGCTACTCAGGAGGCTGAGGCAGGAGAGTTGCTGGAACCCAGGAGGCAGAGGTTACAGTGAGCTGAGATCGTACCATTGCACTCCAGCCTAGGCAACAAGAGCAAGAATTTGTCTGAAAACAAAAACAAACAAACAAAAAAATCTAATTTGTTCAAGCTGTCATGTTATAAGTGTTGGGGTGGCCTCTGCATTGATGACTGAACCGTGGCCACTGGTCAGTGTGTCTCCTTTCATCTCAACTATTTCTTTCTGGCTTGGGTTGTCTTTCCTAGGCTGCTCTTGAGTTGCAGGCATCTGGATTGTGTTCCTACCTTATGAAGGGTGAATTGAATGTGATCTCGTATGTTCAGGTGAACTTGACTAAGATGTTGGCTCTGCTAGTCTGTTTTTCTATGAAATCTTACTTAAATGCTACCTATCATTTTGTTGGCCTTTTGGCTGCCTGAGTATTGGGAGTAGTAAATGGTGGCTTTGATCCCTTCCTCAATCCTGACTCTTACCTCGATTATAACTAGCAGCTCAGATATTAGAGACTGTGGTTGTTTTACATTTATTCAGTAATTACTTACTAAGCACCAACCACGTATCAGGGATTGTGCTGAGTACAGCAGGCATGACCTCTTCCTTGGGAGACTCATGGTCCCAGGGCTATTTGCCCACGTGGCAACTGTCAGCCCTGCAGAGGGTGGACCATTTTTTTTGTAGTTCACCTTTGTTGTCGGACTTCTTGCTGTCCCAAAGAGTTTACAATCATTTGTACATTTTCCTGCTGCCTCCTCCAGGCCATTTATAAAAAATATTAAATGAGATTAGTCATAACACTAGTTACTTCTCCATGCACAAACCTGTCTTTTCCTGTCTCTGAGTCAGTTCTCTCTCTCCATGGCCAAACTGCCCGAAGTCCCACGGAGACTCATTATTTTTAAATACCTTTTCATGTGGAACCTTGTCAAAAGCTTCTGGAAAATCTAAATAGCTAAGAGACAAGCACTGAGCTAGGAATCAGGAGACCTGGATTCTAGTCTTATATGCCATTGGTTTATCATGGAACTTGGGGCAAGTCACCGAACAGCCTCCATCTCAGTTGCTTCATCAGGAAGATGAGAATGATTATTCTGGCAATCAACATCATAAAAATTTTACAACCATCAGCTGAGACAGTGTTATTTAAGAATGCTTTGCAAAGTATAAAGCAAAAATATAAGGGATCATTATTTAGAAAATTTACAATAGCATCTTCATTCATATGCAGGTTTCTCTCCCAGAAAAACTGCAGTAGATAAAGACATGGCTCCTCCAGCACCCCTGGGGTGATGCTTGTTTAAAACCAACTCCTTTGACATCTTGAAGGAATGCAGGTTTACATAAACAGTAGTGCCGGGTTCAGTGTGAGCCTTTGGTGTACTGTGTGAACTCATAGAAGCATAACCACTGGAATCAATCAGACCCTGGTATGGGTGCAGCCTGTGCCATCCGCCAGATGTGTGACCTTAATCAAGTTATTTAACATTTTTTTGTGCCACACCTGTAAATGGGGACAATATTAATGCTTACTTTACTGAGTTCTGAGATTTAAATAAGAAAATAAATATATGTAAAATGCCTACCATTGTCCCAGACCCATAGTGGCCACTCAATAAATAGCAGCTTTTGTTCTATTTGTCTGTGTTAAGGGTCCAAGAGCCAGCAGCTGGTCCATTCTACCTAAATTTTTGGATTGCCCATCAAACATTCAGTAAATTCCACCATAAATTCCTTTATCCATGTCCTGTGTGAATTTTTTCAACAGATGAATAAATAATGCTTTTCTTTGGTTTTCTGAAAAGTTGTTGGAGGGTGAGGTGGGAAAAGAGAGAAGGAACCTTTCCAATTAGATATTTCCCACTGGCAGAGTGCAGAGGGTGGGGACTTAGCTGCATCCAGCCTCCTTGCAGAAGGCCAGGCCTATGGAAACCTGTCCAATTGCTGCTTCCTCGTCCACCCCTCTGTCCCTCCCCCATGTCATCTGGTTTCCTTTGATGTCCAGCCACACCCAGCAAACCCCTCATCCTCAGGAGCAGGGAAGTTGGAGTCGAAAGATAAAGGAGACTGCTCAGGCACTGAATGTAATTTCATTTGGGGATCAGGCCAAGGGGCACTGGATGAGGCTTAGTTCCGCCAGCACTCCCCCGGGGACCCTGCTCTGGCCGACGGTGGCCTGAGGGGGCTGGAGACCAGCCAGGGCATTCAGTATCATTCTCTGCTTCTGCTCCAGGGGCACCTCCCAGCTGGGGATGAAGCTTGGCTGGGCCAGGGGCCAAGGCCATCATTGCGCGGTCAGACTTGGGTGGTAATCCCAATTGGTTTTGCACAAACTCCTGTTTCATCCAGATTAGGAAAGGACCTGGCCAGCGTGGACATCTGGTGGCTTGGGGATGGGCACAGAAGAAGGAGGGCTCTGGGAATCAGAGGCATTTCCATTTTAAACACTAACCATGACTCCTTTAACTGTTGTTGTCATGGGCTTAATGGGAAATTAGCAAAGAGGAATCTGAACTACATTTATTTATTCATTCTTTTTTAGAATAAATATTTGTCAAGCTCAAGTGTTTGAGCACCAAAATCAAGAATGACTAGAGAAAGTCTCAGCAATTGTAGAGACTAGAGACAGACCCTGACCTCAGCCCCCTGCCTTTAGGTGGCCGCCACTGGGAGACACACGGGAAACCCTCTGGAAGCAAGGACTCTCATGTAACTGGTGGTAGGAAAAGCATGGACTTCCAGAGTCAAACTGAATTCTAATTCTCTCCCCAGATTTTATCGCACAGGCCAGTTGTTTAATGTACCTGGGTATCATTTTTCTCATCTATTATCAGTGCATCCGTTAGGACTTTGGATGTTGCAAAAAAAAAAAAAAAAACCTTTATATTACTTTAACATAAAGAAAATATCTGGAGTAACTAGAAAGTCCCAATGTCAGGCAGGCTTTGGGGTTACTTTGATTCAGTGGCTCAGCAATGTCACCAAAGACCAATTTTTTCCCGTCTCTGTGCTTGACCTGCCCTGGTTCCAGCTCCCTTCCTTGTTAGGAGAGGGCTGCCCACAGATCTTTGAGCTCCAAGTTCATTTTATCCCTTTGAGAGTTAGGAAATACAGTCTCTTCTCTCTACCATGAGTCCCTGCTTTGCTCTGATTCACGTTGATTGGCTTGAGCCTATTTTCTCTTAATCACTGTGGCAGAGAGTAAGATCGAGCTGGTTTGTTTGTGCTCATCATGGACAACCTGGGAAGCAGGGAGTGGGATCAATCCCACCCAAAAGGTGGGAGAGGGTGGAATGGATGCTGGAGGGGCACATGAGCCGTGATGAATGAACATTAAACCCACGGGATTGAGAGGATTACACCAATAGAGAATTATGTGCAAAACCATCTCCCAGTACCTGATGTCCACGAAGCTTAAAATAATGCTTAAAAGGAAATTTTAAAAATCAGAGTCCAGAACAAACCTAAAATCAAGCAAATAAACCACAAAATAACCTGATATTAGAGTTCATGGACTCAAGAGAAATGAAAGGGGGGAGCCTTCTGGGGGACCTGGTGTGGTCAGTTGTCATTAATGTGGTGTTCTTTCTGTAATTTAGTTCCTCAGAATGCCTCTTTTATTCTCCTTGATCTTGTGAGAGGTTAAAAATTACACATTAAAAATTAAAAATAAGAGTGCCTAATGGGAATATTTGGAGTATATTCTTTTTCCTTAGCTTTATTGTTGAAATCTCTAAAATTATACTATGTGTATCTTACAGTCCTGTGTGTGGTGGGGAAGTATGATGATCCCCTAGCTCTCGCCTAACCACACTCTCAATAATATTTGTTCCTGATTTATGGGAGTGGTGTTATTAGCACTCACTGTGCAGTGGTCATGTTGGGTCTATGCACTCAAACACAGGATGGTTCCAGAGACCTTGGCCAACATCCAGAGGCCAGACGAGCATCATGTAGGATTGTAAAGCTGATGTCTTTTCTAGGTTAGTTCTCATTCATGGGGCATATGGGCAGAAGTCTTCTTTCCATTGTCTCTAAGCTGTCCCAGCATTTCTAGGAAGGACTTGTGGATGGCTGGGGAAGATCTACTCAGCTGAGTGTTTGCAGAAGGTTGTGGATGACTCATGCCTGAAGCACATTTTCCTGTAATTCCCTCATCCCCTTCCCTGGGGACGTGAACAAAATCTCTAGAAGGTTTCAGGACCTAATGTTATAAGTATAAGCCACTATTTCAATGCCAAAAAGAGACCCTTAGTGTGAAACCTTTGGGGTTGGCCCCCTGCCTGGTTCCCCTTCAAGGTACAGCAATGACATCTGGGTAGCAGTTCCCTTCCTTACACTGACATGTTTTTCTGCTAACAAATGCAGCAAATAATATTGCCTTTCCAATGCAGGGTGACACTCTGATCTGAGGCAGCTTCAATAACATGTTGTTCCTCCAAGCCTCAGAGCCTCATCTTTTTCTCCAAAGACCAGCAAGAAAGGCATCAAATGCTTGAGCCTGAGGCAGAGGGAACCAGGGAGATCAAGACTGGATTTTTGGTGAAGCCCAGCCTGGTCCCCGGCTTCCCTCTCTGCCACTCCCATCCTGAGGCCCTTGGTGAGCTTATGTCACTCCACTCTTTGGCTTTAGCCTGTGAGCACTGTAGAGACAGAACTCATGCCCTCTCCCTCGGCTGTTGACAGGGTCTCTGGCTGAAGTTTGACTGTGGGCAGTGCAGGATCTGAACTCACATTGACTCTCCTCTTCTCCACAGATCCGGGTGGATGGACCCAGGGGCAACGCTCTCCAGTATGAGACGGTGCAGGTGGTGGATCCTGGCCCAGTCCTCCGGGATATGGCCTTCTCCAAGGACCACGAGCAACTCTACATCATGTCAGAGAGGCAGGTAAGGCTCTTTGGGCTCTGCTAGACGTTTGTCTTACAGCTAAATACTAGCCTGTGGCTCAGTACAAACCTTAGGAGGCCAGCTGCAGAGAGGTGATTTGATTTATTTGGCGCAGTGTGTATCTTTTCAGTTTTGCTGCCTGGGGACTGAGGCTTGGTGTTCTGAAACAGGAAAGAAACATTTAAAATATCAAAATATTGGAGACTCTAGAACAAATCCACTAACTTCAAAATCATGTGTATATGTTCAGGGCCAACATTTGCTTTCTTTTGAAGAAACGTCATACAGATGTCCAAATTGTGGGTCCAGATTTCCCTATACAAAATGTGATCTCATACCAAAGTCACCTTCCTGGCCCCCAGAAGCCTGTGGGAGGCAAGGATTTATTGCCAGAAGAGCCTAGTTAAGGGAACACCATGGTCAGGACCCAGAAAACAGAGTCTGTGTGGTGAGATACGATGAGGTAGGGCAAGGCCTGAACGTTTGTGTGTACATACAACTCTTTGTGGAAACTCCAGCAAGTGCCGCGGAGCCCGCCCGAGAAGAACAGATATGGTGCAGGTTTACTGATGCTGAGTAGGAAGTCGAAAACCTGGGCTTGGTTCTCAAACTGAGCTGAGAAGGAAGTAAGTTTGTATGGAGTCCTTGAGCTCAGGCCAGGAGTCATATATCTGCAGCAGGCAAAGGAAGGGGTTTCACCTTGGACATCCATGTATTTAAGGGTATTTCCTGCAGTCCTCTAATTCACTGCCTGGAGTGCTCCATCCCACAATACACAGCCCACCCCAAGTGTGGTGCAGCACCACCGTACCTCTGCCCTGTGGCCTCTGTGGAGGATGGGTCATTCCCTGGAGCTGTCCCTCCAGCCCATGAATATGTATGCATTAGCTCTAAGTGGCAGCAGCAGCCATGAGGGGCAGATCTCTCCTCTTTTTCATCCTCGTCAGTGTGGCCTGAACTCTCTGGAGGACCCTGCTAACAGAGTCTGGATTGTTCTGCCTGGACCCTCTCGGCATTGTGGGGGAGATGAATTCCACATTATGCCACCCACGGGGCTTGTGCATTATGCCTTAGCAGTCACAGGAGCTCTGCCCTCCCCAAGAGCTCGATGACATCTTCTCTTGGTGTCGGACTCCCCGTTCTCCCAACTTTAGCCACACTGGGACCCATTGTGCCCTGGTTGAGGCTGCCACGGCTTGGGAATGTTCTCATTCCCAAGGTGGGGTAGAAAGTGGAGTCTTTTTTCCTGGGAGGAGAGACTACCAAGATGGAGCCTGCAGCTGGGCACAAGGCTTCCCATTTGTCTACATTCCTTGCTCTTATAACAGCTTCCAAACTCCCCACTCCCAGCCTACCTCAGAGGCCCTAGGAGCTGAGGGGAAGCAGCTTTCTTTAGTGGCATGAATCATCTGGAGAAGATCTTCACAAGGCATTGAATATTCAGGATTTCTTGCCTGATCTGAAAGCCAGCATTTCTGAACCTGGGACTTAAAACATAAGAGGACTTTCAAAGATGGAAAATATAAATGGAGCCAGGTGCAGTGTCTTGCACCTATAATCCCAGCTGCTCGGGAGGCTGAGGCAGGAGGATTGCTGGAAGGCCAGGAGTTCAAGGCCAGCCTGGGCAATATAGCAAGACTTCGTCTCTAAAAAAATAAAGAGAAATTTCAAAAAAAAGCATGAGCTGATAATATGAGTTATCAGGCCCCTCTGAGAACTGAGTCAGGATTCTGAGCATTACTCCTTCCCTGGAGGGGCCCTTCTGAATCCTTGTTCACCTCCTTGTCCTCAGCTATTTCCCCTTAGATGAGTAATGTGGTCACTACCCATTTAGGCTTGGCAATGAGGCACCCTGAGAGCTCCATATTATGGGCACATTGGAAAGGAAGGCAGGAATGAATAGAGCCAGGGAATTCATCCATTCCAGGGCTGCTCCACACAGATGGGGAGACTGGCCTGCCACCCAAATGACCATTTCAAAGCCCTAACACCTGGGCTGACAGTGGTCTCCACTGGACTTGTGGATTCTTGGTGGAGATTTGTGGAACAGTGCGATGATTAAGTCCACAGGTGTTGCCATTGGAATGACTGAGCATGCATCTTAAATCTCATTTACTAAATGTAGTCTCTGATAAGTTCCTAACCTCCTTAAGATTCAGCATTCTTTACTGTCCTGTGTAGGTGACAATAATATCAGATAGTTTTGTTCCAAGAATTGAATGAGATATGCATATAATAAACTTAGAACCATGGCTGGCACAGAGTAAGTGCTTGTTAAATGGAGAGACTCTTGTTTTTACGACTTTGTGACAGGAGTTTCCAGACACTGGCTGTGCTTACAGTCAGGCAAGGGCTCGTATTGAGATTCTAGATGGTCCATCTGGGTTTGAGCACAGCAGACCAGATGAGGCCAAGGTAGGCAGGGAGCAAAAATCCAGTCCCGGGGGAGAGCCCATGAGGAACCCAGGCCTGCTTGACAGACTGGGCACGTGGAATAGAGCTCAGGGCCAAGCAGCTTGGTAAATATACCTGGGTATTTTCCAGACCCAGGGCATCAAGACTAATTCCAGCCTCCTTCAGGTGGTGGGTCTCCCTCAGCCATGATGGGTCAGGACACTTTGCACACCGTGTCTGCAGGCTAAGGGCATAGCTTGGCCATGATGTCAGCGCGGCCTGGAAAGCACTTTCCTTTCTTATCTGACTAATTTTTCCTTGTCCTTCAAAACTTAGCTTGACTGTCACATTCTTCATTGGGTTATTCCTAGCCTGCAGTTAGACACGTCTGTAGTAGCTTTTGTCAGACCAGACTGTGATGATGACTTCCTTGTCTCTGTTGCTGCCAGCAACTTGAGAGCATTCCATGCCTTGCCAGCCTCAATCTCACGTGATAGGCCCCTCATAATTTTTTAATGAATGAGTCCCCAGTGCCTTCACTGAACCAGAATTGGAAGAGAGAGGTACCAACACAAATAACCTATTGCTTCAGTTAATTTCAAAGCTCAAACTTAAGTAACTGAAAGACTAACTGAAGCCTGACCTTACTCTCTGCCACAGAGAGTAAGGGTGGGACTGAACCCACTCCCTGCTTCCCAGGTTGTCCGTGATGAGCACAAACAAACCAGCCTGATCTTACTCTCTGCCACAGAGAGTAAGACGGAAAGAAGGAAGTTCAGATAAAGGAAGCACCTCCTGTGTGTCAGTAATCTATCACTTGTATTCATTGGCTAGGGCTGCCATAACAAAATAGCACAGACTGGGGAGCTTAAACAACAGAAATTTGTTTCCTCCCAGCTTTGGATGTTGGAAGTCCAGGATCACAGTGTCAGCAGGGCTGTTTTTTCTGAGGCCTGTCTCCCCGGCTTGCAGATGGCTACCTTCTCACTATGTCCTCACATGGCCTTTCCTCTGAGAGCAAAGCCCTGGTGTTTCTCTGTGTGTCCTACTCGCCTCTTCTTCTAAGAGCACCAGTCAGATTGGATTAGGGCCTCTTTCTATCAGCCTTATTGTAACATAAACACTTTGATATGGTTTTGCTGTGTCCCACCCAAATCTCATCTTGAATTGTAGCTCCCATAATTACCTCCTGTCATGGGAGGGACCCTGTGGGTGGTAACTGAATCATGCAGGCAGGTCTTTCCCATGCTGCTCTCCTGACAGTGAATACGTTTCATGAGGTCGGATGGTTTTCTAAGGGGAGTTCCCCTGCACATGCTCTCTTGCCTGCTGCCATGTAAGACATGGCTTTGCTCCTCATTTGCCTTCCACCATGATTGTGAGGCCTCCCCAGCCATGTGGAACTGTGAGTCCATTAAACCTTTTTCCTTCATAGATCACCCAGTCTCAGGTATATTTTTATTAGCAGAGTGAGAACGGACTGACACACACTTTTTGAAGAAGCCATCTCCGAATACAGCCATATGCTGAAGTGCTGAAGGTTAGGGTTTCAATGTATGAGTTTTGGGGAGAAACAATTTAGCCCGTTACATCACTGTCATGACTTTTGCCCTGTCCTATTTTTTTACATTATGTTTTTGTTTTAACTTATGGTTTCAACTTGGATAACCTACTTTAACGGTCTCTTAAGTAGTAGTATTATGGATCTAACACGTCAGTCATATATAGTATGACTAATGTACTTACAAATCAAACAGAACTATTAAAATTATTAAAACTCCGTGTCTGCATCCACACAAAATCTATCTGTGTGTTGCTTTGGGAACCACTGATATATTGGCTGTAGCTTGGGTTTTGACGTCTGAAGACCTAGATTCAAGGCCCAGACCTATCCTCCACTGGCTGATGACCCTGGACAAGTCAATCAGCTTCTTTGAGTCTCACTTTTCTCATCTGTAAAATGAAAATAATCATGATAATCTTCTTCCATCACAGAGCTCAAATAACACAAGAGACACATCTAGTAACTTTCAGATTGTTATTTTTTTTTCTTCACGTGAAGTGAAGACCTAAATATTCCTGAAAGATGTGAGTTAACAACATTACATACCAATGAGTTAGTCCAGGGGTCAACAGACTTTTTCTGTAAGGGGTCAGATAGTGAATAGTGTAGGGTTTGTGGACCATATGGTTTCTGTTGCCATTATTCAACTTTGCTGTTGTAACACAAAAGCAGCCATAGATAACATCTAAACAAATGGGGACGACTATCTGCCAATAAAACTTCGTTCACAAAAACAGGTGAAGAGCAGTGGTTCTGCAATCTCTGAGTCAGTCCTATAATGAAAATGTATTGGATGATGACCCTGGCATTGGAGATGGTGGAGTTACTGTGTACAGGTCACTCAAAGAAGTGTGGGGAGAAAATTCCTCAGCCTATTAGAATGGACCCCAGCGCCACATATCCAACTGCTGCCTGACATCTCCACTTGGTCATCTGGTAGATATCTTCACTTAACATGTCTAAAGCCAAATTCTTCATCGACCTTCCCAGCACTCCTCACCTGTAGTCTTCTCTATCTCAGATGATAGGGATGATGGCAGAT